AGAGACAGGTCATATATTCCAGTTTAAAATGTGGGTCCCATGGAGCATTTTAGAAATGACATAAAATGGAAATGTACAGCCGCCCTAATGTTTAGAAGCCATTCATACCATCTACCTTCTGCCTGTTAGGAAAGTAAGTCTACTTTGTGCTTGTCAGCTGAAGTTGAGAACAATGCCTGTTTGCAAATTGTCAGGGTGCCAGAGTCTAACCTGCTTACTGTAGGGACAGCCCAGCATGAATCAGTGAGCCCAGAGAGATGGGGAGAAATTTCTTTCCTTAGTGCTGAGCCTTTGGAATTCTCTGCCACAGAAAGCAGTCAAGGCAAAACAGGGAATGTTTTCAATAAGGTGTTATTGTATAATTCTCATGGCTAAGGGATAAAGGGGTATGGGGAGAAAGTGGGATCAGGTTACCGAGTTGAACCATGATCATAATGAGTAGTGGAGCAAGTTCAAAAAAGGGTTGAACGGCCTACTCCTGCTGCGATTTTCGATCACTTCAACTTGAAACTCGGCAATCCTGAAGCTAGACCATAATTATGAGTTTGCTTTCCTAAATAATTTAAAAATAAAAGTTAGAAAAATTTTTTGTGATAAGATTGGAAAGGATTCTTTTTTTCCTCCCAAATGCTTGTCAGTGCAAACACAGGGTATCAGAGCGATAGGCAAGGAAATTTGAAGACAAGAGACTCCAAATACAATTTGAAGACAGAAGAGACCCCAGATACAACTGTTGGTCATTATTTCCAAATTCTCTCATTTAGTGTCTCCACCTCCCTTTGGAACAAGTTTCCTAGACTGTTTTTAAACCAAATCCATCTGCCCACTCCCCTCAGGCTCAACCTTGCCTTCATTTTTGTCTTTCCTATTATCTTCAAATCCGCCTCTCCGTCTGAACCTAGACTCCAACCCAGTTACACTGTAGTTTTTAGAAAAATCCAGATGGAAAAATTGGAAAGATAATGGAATTTGACACAGAATAAATGACCACCATAACAGTGAATAAATAGGAGATATTATTGAGCCACAACAGCAAATCAATGTAATAACTCAGTGTATACTTTGTTACAAAGCATCCGTTCCTTTCACAGACAAAGAAAAAAATCACAGAAGAATCCAATTACTTTAAAAGTATGCATTTTGTCTGTCAGACTTTTGTCCTCAAGTTGATAGATTCCTTAACTTTTTGGCTTGGGTTTAAAATTCAAAACAGCAGAAACAATCTTAGCTGAACAAGCAATCAAAATATCAGTAAGGGAAAAGCCAATTAAAAATCAAAAGTGAAGAGGGTTACAAATCAGACTGGACAATTGGCAATAAATGCTGAACCGAATGAAGTTATTCCAAATTTTTCTTTTGAAAATTCCTTTAGCTGTTATCCAATAAAGACACTTAAAATTAAGTTTACTATTTCTGTTGTAAGACAAGAAATATTTATCTAATGTACTTTGGTTCTCTATAAGAGGCTTGTGCATGTGAAGTCAGAAAACAGAGCTCCAGTGAACTTCTCAAAAACAGTAGTTTGAGATGGATACTCAGCTTATAATTCCTGCACACACCTGTGCATACAACTGCAGTGTCCAAACTTGTCAAAAATATTGTGCCACTAAGAATGAACTAAAATGTACTGTTCTTTGTATAAACTATTTAAAATACATTAAAGTATTAGTTCTTCAAAATTCTTCAGTGAATATACTGGTTAAATGTATGCAAGAAATCAAGATTCAAACAATGTAAAGTTTCAAAATGGATCTTTGTAGAAAACAGGTCTTTTATAACAAAACAGGAAGGATTCATTCTTGCAATTTTTAGATTGATATAATAACCCTGTTGAGTGCTCTTACAAACTTTACACATCATTCCAATGTGCATTGCTCCCAACAAAATCTTGTCAGATTAGAATTGCTGACTTACCATTAAGCAATGGAAGATGATTTAGCAATGCGAGCCAATGACAACCTCATGCTTCACATGTTGCAATTTCACATGCAGTTTCTTGTGGCACATTTTCAAAACAAAAATCCCCTTTCTGGTAGAGGGGATTAGATTTTAATTTAAATTTTAAAAATCAGGTAGTGTCAATAAATTAGGCCTTAAAAAAAGCATTAAACAAAATCACTAATTTCCAACATACAGAAACATGCCAACAACCGAAAATGCTTACTTGATTGCCGAAGGGAAAAAAAAGAACTTGACCCCTGATCCCTGTTGACCAAAGATTCTTTCTAGTTCCAATATCGCAGGAAGACTTTAGAGCCAGAACACAACTTGTGTTTTACCTGATATTATACATCTATCCTAAAAGAACTATATACTGTCTGACCTCCCATGGATCTGCTTGCATATTAAACAATGAGCAGCTTTAAATAAAACTTTAAAATCCAGTTTCTCAAAACTTACTATTAAAAATCCCATTGAACAAGTTAGCAACTCTAACCCAACTCAATCATGTAACTTGTTCGAAAGTCAACTTGTTCAGATGCCAACTGATGCAAAAAACAAACGTTTAAAAGAAGAGGTAGATTAACAGAGAGGCAAGAGATATCTGCAAATGGCTGCTTGAACCAACTGAACAAGGCGTCTCCGATGAGGAAGCCCAGAGTCAATTGAAAATTTCATGTCATCAGGCTATGGTATTAGATGGGAAAAAGGTGTTTAAATTGAGTTAAGATACTCAGTCATGATCTAATCAAAAAGGTGGGACTAACTCAACGAGTAAGTCGGTCACCCTTGCTAACATTCTTTTCAATGTTCACACTTGCAGATCTGGTTGGAATTGAAGATTGCTGCTTGTTTAAAAAAAAAGATCTTTGCATGGGGCACTCCAATTTATGAATGTTCGTGTTAAGACAGCACCGATGCTTAAATATATTTAATCATGACCAAACAAATTATGTGCACTATTTTATGCATAAACAAATAGCCAAGGCAGTTGAGAAAACGAGGGATAGATAATAAATGCAGTCTTGCGGGTGTCACTCGCAATCAAGAGGACAGAAAGTTTCCCATTCTGTCAGCCTTATCTGGGAAAGATGCAGAATGGGACATTCATATTCAATGCACCCATATTCTTCTAGTTTTTCAAGAAATACATGATGCCATGGTCATCAGAAAAAAGTCAGAATATTAGAATCTGAGAAGTTCTACACTGTGGAAGCAGGCCATTTGGCCCATTGAATCCACATGACTAACTGAAGAGCATTCCACCCATTTCATGTGGCTAACCCACCTAACCCGCACATCTTTGTACTGTGGGAGGAAACCGGATCACCTGGAGGAAACACACAGACACGAAGAGAATGTGCAAACTCCACACAGACAGTTGCCCGCGGGTAGAATCGAACCTGGGTCCCTAGCGCTGTGAGGCAGTGCCAACCACTGAGACACCATGCTGCCCAAAGTTATTAACAAATTTTAACATTTGATTTTTTAAAAGTCTCAATGCTAAATGAACTAAGGAGGTTCATTGATTGAACAGGAGACTTTGCACTATTTTAAAACTATGGATGTCTCCTATAGAAAGCTGTCAAGCCACATTTCAGACAAAACTACAGTATTCTAGTCCAAAACGAGAGGGCATGGGTTTAAGGTGAGAGGGGAAAGATTTAAAAGGGACATAAGGGGCAACTTTTTTCACGCAGAGGGTGATGAGTGTATGGAATGAGCTGCCAGATGAAGTGGTGGAGACTGGTACAATTTCAACATTTAAAAGGCATCTGATGGGTAAATAGGAAGGGTCGAGAAGGATATGGACCAAATGCTGGCAAATGAGACTAGATTTATCTAGGATACCTGCTCAGCGTGAATGATTTGGAACGAAGGGTCTGTTTCCTTGCTGTACATCTCTATGACTATTAATAGCCTGTACTGGATGTTAGATGGCTGTTATTAGTATGCAACAATAATCAGTAGGCACTATGTGCCCATAAACTGCTAACTTAGATCAATACTCTTTAAACAAATCCCAGCAAACAAGTGTCAGGTAATCCAACTTCAGCTGCCTTTAGCACCTGGAAAAATCTATAGTAAATAAACTAGACAATCATGTGGACCCATGCAATGTGGCATATTTTCAAATGCTATAGACTGTTGACCTTTACTCCTTTTTACACCCCACTTATTACTAGGAAGGACTGTAATGTTAACTTTTAAACTTCATTTCTTTATTTCTCTACTTATACTAAGGACAAAGATAATGCTTTACTTTTAACTTTGTTCTCTATGTTATTACTTATACCCATGTTTTGTACCTCGGTATCTTCGTGCTTAAGATGGTGCTGTGTGTGGTGACATTGTACACTTTTTTTTTAAACTGTACTGCTGTGCTTCAGTACATGTGACAATAAAGCTTAAATCAAAAAAAACGTTCACATTCATTCTGAGTGGCCATGTAATACAGGCAAAGAGCAAATGCTGTTAAGCTACAGTACTCCACATTTGACAGTAGGACGTGAGAGATGACCAAGCAGCCCAGTAAGAGAGTTGGATCCGCGATGTCAGTTGCCCAATCTGTGTACTTGCGTGGCACGATGACAATTTAACCCTAGGCTGCATCCAACACAAGCTCAGGATCAAAGGCTGAGGGCCAATATACCATTTGAAATTGCACCCTTTATTTATTCAGTCAGTATCATTATCTAGAGGTCATAGGTCAGTTTATTCAGTCAAGAACCCACCACAATTCTAATCACATCCATTATGTTATGGAAGAAAGCAAACCAACAAAGTTACCCCGTGCCATGATTTATTTATTTTAAACACGGCATGGTGTTGAAATGCACATTGCATTTTTAAAGCGGGTAAATGTAAGATAAAGCAAGTTTACCGCATCTCGGGAGCAATCAGTCAAGTGACTGGAAGCAGCCAACGACTGCAACTTCAGGACTATTGGAGTGACATAAATCAACTTTGTTCAAAGAAACGGAATCACTTTTCTCCATTTGTCTACATCTCCTCATCCATGACCCAAGAGGTAAAACATGTCAGATGACAAGTGAAAATTACACTTCCAACATTTATTTTTTCCCATATTGGAAGATTACGGAGCATTGACAAAGCATGAAATACAAATTCACAAAATGTAGCTTCACATAAAATGTCAGAAGTTTGAGAATCACTATGGATATAAGAAAAAATAATTTAATGAAGGAATTAGCTCAAACAGGGGAATCTGCGAGTGACTGGCAAATTTTGTGAAAACATTACAGTTACCGGTAACTATTTCCCTCAACCCTTTTACAAATTTGGCACCAACAACAGAATTATTTGTATATGACACATGGAAACAGTAAAACTGCGAAGATACAAACATAAGTTTGTAAAAAATAGTTATTTTTTCCAGGGAAGGACTTGAATGGATGATAAGCATTGCAAAACTAAAGGAGAAATTATTTCGTAAAGAATTAATTGGAAAGCAAAGCAGGTTTTTAAATGAAAAAATGCTGTAATCTCCCTGTAGTTTAAGACACTAAAAACCAATTTTATAACTGAAACAATGCATAAATGCTGCCACAAACAGAACAGTCAATATCTAAAGAAAAAATACAGGTTTACATTTTCTGAATTGATAACTGAATGATATCATGCACATTAACCAATTTATCCTCCAACACTGTCTGATCTGTTGTACATTTGCAGCATTGTTTGAGAAGATTTATCTATTCCTATATAGCAATCTGGTAGCTTAGTGATTACCTTACTGGACTGGTAAACCAAAGGCCAGGACTAATGAAAGGAGACAAGTTTGAATCCCACTGGAGTTGGGGTATTTCAATTTAATGAATGCAATAATTTTAAAAATGCTAGTCTCAGTAACCATTTAAGAGCCGGATTATAAAATTTCACGATTCCCCTAATGTCCTTTATGGAAGAAAACTAGCCTCCCTTATCCAGGTTCCAGAGGCACAGCAATGTGGTCAACTCTTAATTGCTTTTGTAATTGCCTGATAAGCTACCCAGTTTAAGGATGGAAATAAATGCTTGTCTTGTCTGTGATGCAAAATATAGGTAATTTTACTGCACTCGTTGGGAGGTGGTTACGGGAAGTGCAATACACAGCAAAATCCTAAAATCAATCTCAAAATTAGTTTGCATCTAATTAAGATAATTCACTTAATTTCACGTAGTTATTTTTGGGGGAGAGAAATTCTGAATATTTTCTATTTTGCATGGAGTCCAAAATGTAATTTAATCCCTAATGTTAATCCTATTGTAGCCAGTATAATCAGACATGCATTTAAATGAAATTCTGGCTCAAAATAATTAGCATCAAGATGATGATCCCTTCCTGGTCGAAAAGGATTCAGCCATGACTTGTATGGAGGGAGATTGAGAGAATTGTTAGTAGGAGGAGTTATCATTTCAGAGGCTGATTAAGATATTGTTTGAGTAAATCACCCCGTACCCTAGGAGACTGCATACCTTAGTTCACTCAATCCACTATAACATGAACATCACAATATCCTATAGTGCAAACTCCCAGGTTGGTTCACTGTTGTCCTCACGAGACATGAAAGATCAAATTGTTTTCATTCTGTTGTTAACTACAACTAAAGATGGCTATTTCCAGTACAAAAATCATTATTAAAAGATGAACATTGTTCATTAACACTAATCATTATCTCAATTATTTTCTGTAATATCCAATTCACTGCAAATGTTCCTGCAGTCCATACTGGATATCAACATTTAAGCAGAAAAACCCAGTAAATATTCAGCACAGGTATACACTTAAAAAAAATAAACTAACCCAAGGAGCAGGCACCATGCCCTCAACTATCTAACCATGGCATTATTACAATCTTACAACTCATTATACACTAGCCTAACTGAAGTAAAAATGGCAGGGGGGAAAAAAAAAACTACAATCCCTTCACATTCCAACAGTGTCCAAAATAAGTATACCACATCACAGCTATCCCATCTTTACAATCAAATTTGTATCACAATTTGCAAATATTATTGCACATTAACTATGAGAAAACAAATATACAAATGCGTTAAACATCTCTCTAACAAAGTACATGTATAACAATATTTCCCTCTACACAACAGTTTCAGCTGTGAATTTGGTTGACTCCTGGTGGGGGACCAGAGACACTTGACAGCGGAAATAAATTAAAACTGTTACATTCCATAATTGTACTGTATGGTAGGAAAGCAAGCAACTCAATGGCATTGAAATGGTACATTGATTTGTGAGGTAGTTCATCAATTATTTAAAAACCTCTTTTGATACGTTAGTTCTGTCGACTTGTGAAGCTCGTAATGTTTGTCTGGAACATAACCCTACTCCATTGATTCTAGTCAAGGTCGGCATTTTGACAAGTTGTATTAGGATAAACTAGTTAGAAATTAAACCACTATTACCGCAGGGCATTATGTCCTGTGAATTCCTAATACAACAAAGGAATTAACCAAATCACTCCTAATTAGAAATAACAGCTTATTGGGGCAAGATGATTTTATTAAAATAGGTTTGGTGCTGGCACTGACTCAAGATATAGAACTTGTTTTGTGCAGAATTCATTTGTGATGCTCAATCGTTGATGCCACATTTTCTCTTCCTACTTTTCAAGTTTCCATTGCCTTAGACAACTGAAGGTGAGCCTTTACCATCAGTTTGAATACTTAGTGTTACACCTAGTAGCCTTGCCCACCCAAAGTGGCTGCATTAAAATGTAAAACATACTCGGCTTCAGCTTTGGACGTGTAATGTAAACAGGTAGGCCACACAGTCAACCAAAATTTGTTGTGGACACTGGGTATTTTTATGTTTTTGACACACAATGACTTGTTGTCCTAGTCCACAACTAGCATTAAGCCAGAGCCAACTAGAGTAAAAAAGATCTTAGAATGTTTAAATGGTGTAAACCACTTCATGCAAGAGTGTGAGAAAAAGTAGCCTAACTAAGCTATCCCTCTGCGCACCGGATCTGGAACTTGTTTGTATTTTGAGATCATTTTTCCTCCCAAAACAGACCCAAATGTAATGATGTTAAATATCAGTCCGTTACAAATGTACAAGTCATGCTTTAGGGTTACTTGCCCTGTACTAAAGGTTGCTGTATTGAGTTACTGTATGTATATCCAACATAATTGAAAGTTGTATTCTATCTGGGAAACTGATTCCAATAAAATTAAAACACAGTTGGAGCTTTTTAAAAAGCTGGTCTACCCTCTCTAAAAGTTAGCGCAAACAGTAAGACCCCAGAGAGAGGGAGGCTAGTCATCTGCAACAGCCCAGAGGTCCTGCCGACGTTTCTAGGCTGCTGTCGGTATCCGATGCCAGCGTTGGATCTGTTGACATGGAGGACACATCATTGACAGATGAAGATGACGATGGATGATGAGAGCCATTGATCATTGCTGCACCTGTGCTATGAGAAATAAGGATGTCAGTCAGTAACATAGTGCACAGGGCATTTCTCAGCAACATACAATCACATAAAGCAATCACATCCATATCAGACAAACTGCATAAAGAAAAACTAATGCGGAGAGTGCACTTGAGCTGAAGGGCAACTAGAGACGGGCAATAAATGCTGGCCCAGCCAGCAATGCCAATGTCCCACGAGTATATAAAGAGATATAACATTTGTTTTAATGTGCAAACCTTACAGCAATAGGTTCAGAATGGCTTCTATAGCTGACATATTCTGTTAGTGGCTAGAGCAAGACTGCAGTGTCATGGACAGGAATTGCAGGGGCCAGGTAGCCAAGGTAGGGGTGAGGACTGCAGTGGGAGCAGGTACAAGGTGCCAATCTCCGTTTGTCAGGTCTGCTCATTAGTTTTTCACTTTTTAAAAGATTCAAAAACCCAGAAGATGACCCAAGCACCATCTCGGAGACTGACTGCTGGTTTTGGCTGAGGTGGGTTTGCTCCTTGTACTCTTTGCATGCCCTACACTTGACAAAGTACAGGAAATGCGTGGAAATTTGTTCAGGAACAAAAGGTTTTGGTTGGAACAGAACCCAATCACATGATGGGATCACTTGACAGCTCATTGGAGACTATGACTTTGCAGTCTGAAAGCCTTTCACATGACAACAGCCACCTTTGACTGCTATGTACAGAAAAGACAAGGAAACTACTCTCTCCTGTTATAACCTGGTTCAGGTGAGAGATCGATAGGACAACATTACCCCTCCTCCTCTCAAAAGCTGCAAGCTATTTGCTGTAAATCAACTGGAAGCATACCTACTGCAAGCAGATTCTTAAAGGAAGGCATTGACTCAGTACTAGTGCAACCAGGTCATCAACCCAAAGTAAACTGCTGCATCTGTAAAACATCCCTCCAGATCACTGACAGAACATTTGATCATGTTTCTTTCATTTCTAAACTCTAGCTTTTCTTAATTTGTCCTTTACCACCTTTGCATCAAGCTGATTTTTTAAAAAAAATTAAAACACTCTTTCAATATCTTTACCCAAGTTCCAGCAAATGTTAAGTCCCACCTTATTATTAATTCAAGGAATTTGGTAATCCTAGTTTCTTTATCCTGAACTACAGAGTTAAGCACAGACAACTGGGAATATCTGATCCACTTCAAATTCAAACACTTATGACCAACCCAGACGGTGGGTGACAAGAGAGGGGAACCAGTTCAATACCCCCACCCTACACACACTGAGCTGTTCATAACAACCAGGTTTAAGCAGCAACTTTCATTGCAGGGCCTTTTTTCATACAAGTTTGTGTTTTACTGATCAGTAATTAAAAGTAAACTAGACTTAAAGAAGTGAGCATAAGTTAGCAATCTGGATTTAAAATGATACTTATGTTAATTCAGCTCTTATCAATAGTATTGGCCAAAAGAAATTGGGGTTAATCGCCCCCATCAGTTTCAACGAGATGATACTGAGCAAGGGAGTAAATTACTGCAGATGCTGGAATCTGAACAAAATGCTGGAAATCACAGCAGGTCACGCAGCATCCATGGAGGCAGAGCAAATTAATGTTGAGTCTCGATGACTCTTCAGAACTTTGAAGAAGAGTTAGAGTCATTGAATGTACAGCACAGAAACAGACCCTTTGGTCCAATTCGTCTATGCCAACTAGATATCCTTATATTAATCCAGTCCAACTTGCCAACATTTGGCCCATATCCTTCTAAACCCTTCGGATTCACATGCCCATCCAGACACCTTTTAAATGTTGTAATTGTACCAGCCTCCACTACTTCCTCTGGCAGCTCATTCCATACACGCATCACCCTCTGCGTGAAAAAGTCACCCCTTAGGTCCCTTTTAAATCCTTTCCCTCTCATCTTAAACTTATGCCCCTCTAGTTTTGGACTCCATTACTTTGGGCAAAAGACCTTGGCTATTCACCCTATCCATGCCCCTCATGATTCTATAAACCTCTTTAAAAGTCACCCCTCAGCCTCCAACGCTCCAGGGAAAATAGCTCCAACCTATTCAGCCTCTCCCTATAGCTCAAACCCTGGCAACATCCTTGTAAATCTTTTCAATTTTCATAACATCCATCGTATAGCAGACACATCAGAATTGAACACAGTTTTCCAACTGGCCTAACCAATGTTCTGTTCAGCCAGAACATAACCTCCCAACTCCTATACTCAATGCACTGACCAATAAAGGCAAGCATACCAAACACCTTCTTCACTATCCTGTCTACCTGCGATTCCACATTCAAGGAGCTATGAACCTGCACTCCAAGGTCTCTTTGTTCAGAAACATTCCCCAGGACCTTACCATTAAGTGTATAAGTCCTGCCCTGATTTGCCTTTCCAAAATGCAGCACCTCACATTTATCCAAATTAAATTCTATCTGCCACTCCTCAGCCTATTGGCCCATCTGATCATGAACCTGTTGTACTCGGAGGTAAATTTCTTTGCTGTCCACTACACCTCCAATTTTGGTGTCGTCTGCAAACTTACTAACCGTACCTCCTACATTCACATCCAAATCATTTAGACAAATGACAAAAAGCAGTGGAGCCAGCACCGATCCTTGTGGCACACCACTGGTCACAGGCCTCCAGCCTGAAAGGCAACCCTCCACCACCACCCTCTGTCTTCTACCTTCGAGCCAGTTCTGTATCTGAATGACTAGTTCTCCCTGTATTCTGTGTAATCTAATCTTGCTGACCAGTCTACCATGCAGAACCTTGTTGAATGCCTTACTGAAGTCCGTATAGATCACGTCCACTGCTCTGCCCTCATCAATCCTCTGTTACGTCTTCAAAAAAAAACTAAATCAAGTTAGTGAGACACAATTTCCTCATGCACAAAGCTATGTGGACTATCCCTAACCAGTCCTTGCCTTTCCAAATACATGCAAATCCTGTCTCTCAGGATCCCCTCAAACAACTTACCCACCACTGATGTCAGCCTCACCAGTCTATAGTTCCCTGGCTTTTCCTTACTACCTTTCTTAAATAGTGGCACCATGTTAGTTAACTTCCAGTCTTCCGGCACCTCACCTGCAGCTACTGATGCCATGTAGACACAAAACGTTAGCTTGCTCTCTCCTCACAGATGCTGCCTGACCCCCTGGATTCCCAGCATTTTTTGATACTGATTATGGATTGCACACAAGTGACAAAAATAGCGCCCCAGCACCAGCATTAGGAAAAACAAGTGCAGTTTAAAGCTCACACTGTATTGGTGGTGAAGGGGGGGGTGGGGTGGTGGTGTTTGTGGTAGTGGGGAAGAGAAGTTGGAAATAGATACAAAGCGATTTTATGCTTCGTAACCTTGTAATGTTTTCATAACTCTGATGTCGCATAATTTGAGGTACTGTACCAGTACAAGCTGCACTTCGGTGGTTACAAACAAACTTAAATTCTGCACATGCCTGAAGATGGGGATTTACATTCAGGGATAAAAATCTTTTGACTACAGAGATTTCAGATGATGTTTGTTTGCCACAGTGAATCTTCCTATGGGAAGCACAGGTCTTGGGTAGAGATAGTAGGAACTGCCGATGCTGGAGAATCTGAGATAACAAAGTGTAGAGCTGGATGAACACAGCAGGCCAAGCAGCATCAGAGGAGCAGGAAGGCTGACGTTTCGGGTCTAGACCCTTCTTCAGAAATGGGGGAGGGGAAGGGGGTTCTGAAGTAAATAGGGAGAGAGGGGGAGGCGGATAGAAGATGGATAAAAGGAGAAGATAGGCGGAGTGGAGACAGACAGGTCAAGGAGGTGGGGTTGGAGCCAGTAAAGGCGAGTGTAGGTGGGGAGGTAGGGCGGGGATAGGTTGGCCCAGGGAGGATGGACAGGTCAAGGAGGCGGGGTGAGGCTAGTAGGTAGGAGATGGGGGTGGGGCTTGAGGCAGGAGGAGGGAATAGGTGGGCAGAAGGACAGGTTAGGGAGGCAGGGACGAGCTGGGCTGGTTTTGGGATGTGGTAGGGGGAGGGGAGATTTTGAAGCTTGTGAAGTCTACATTGATACCATTGGGCTGCAGGTTCCCAAGCAAAATATGAGATGCTGTTCCTGCAACCTTCGGGTGGCATCATTGTGGCACTGCAGGAGGCCCAGGATGGACATGTCGTTCAAGGATTAGGAGGGGGAGTTGAAATGGTTCGCGACTGGGAGGTGCAGTTGTTTGTTGCGAACCGAGCGTAGGTATTCCACAAAGCGGTCCCCAAGCCTCCACTTGGTTTCCCCGAAGAGGTGGAGGCCACAACAGGAACAGCAGATGCAGTTTACCACATTAGCAGATGTGCAGGTCAACATCTGTTTGATGTGGAAGGTCTTCTTGGGGCCTGGGATGGGGGTGAGGGGAGAGGTGTAGGGGCAGGTGTAGCACTTCCTGTGGTTGCAGGGAAAAGTGCCGGGTGTGGTGGGGCTGGAGGGGAGTGTGGAGCGGACAAGGGAGCCACGGAGAGAGTGGTCCCTCCGGAAAGCAGATAAGGGTGGGGAGGGAAAACTGTTTTTGGTGGTGGGGTCAGATTGCAGATGACGGAAGTGTTGGAGGATGATGCGTCGGATCCAGAGGTTGGTGGGGTGGTATGGGAGGACGAGAGGGATTCTGTTTTGGTTGTTATTGCGGGGAGTGGGTGTGAGGGATGAGTTGCGGGAAATGCAAGAGTCACAGTTGAGGGCATTTTCGACCACTGTGGAGGGGAAGTTGCGGTCCTTGAAAAACGAGGACATCTGGGATGTCCAGGAGTGGAATGCCTCATCTCGGGAGCAGATGCGGCGGAGGCGAAGGAATTGGGAATAGGGGATGGCATTTTTGCAGTAAGGTGGGTGGGAGGAGGTGTACTCCAGGTAGCTGTGGGAGTCGGTGGGCTTGAAATGGATATCGGTTTCCAGATGGTCGCCAGAGATGGAGATGGAGAGGTCCAGGAAGGAGCGAGAGGTATCGGAGATGGTCCAGATGAACTTAAAAGGTTGGGGTGGAAGGTGTTAGTGAAGTGGATGAACTGTTCGAGCTCCTCGTGGGAGCGTGAGGCGGTGCCGATACAGTCATCGATATAACAGAGGAAGAGGTTGGGGATAGGGCCAGCGTAGCTTCGGAAGAGGGATTGTTTCACGTATCCTACGAAGAGGCAGGCATAGCTTGGGCCCATGTGGGTACCCTGTGGACACACCCTTTCTTGGGTACATGCTCGTGGTGGGCAAAGGACATTTAAAGGCTTTACTTAGAGCAGTTTTGATATAGAGTTGGGAGTCCCAGGAGAAGCTCGCCTAGGATCAGCGCAATCTAACAAAAAGCAGTGCTGCCTCCTTTGAAAGCAAGTGAGTATCAGAGGTAGCAGGAAGTGCAAGGAGAGGAAATTCTGAGCCAGCAACTCAATCCTGAGCCTGTGATATCCTATCCTATTTGTTGCAGAAACTTCTGCCACAACTTAACTCTGGCTGGTTCATTAGTGTCCTTGAGGGAAGGAAATTGGTCATCCTTCCTGGTCTAGACTACATGCGACTCCAGACCCACAGAACTGCTCTCTGTGGGTCAGCAACATTCACAACTGTGAATGAAGAGAGAGTTTGGTCTTAGCAGCCACTTACACAACCAGCAGAACTCTACTAAATACCCTAGGATCAAGAGCAGTTATTGTTACTGTGATAGATGAACAACAGCAGACCCAGATATGCCACACATAAATGACCATTTTGAATTCACCTCAACCATGATTTAGTCATTAGCAGTAATAAAAAGATCATGTCACAAATGTTTTTTTGAAATGTTACGTTTCAAAGTTCAATCACCAATTGCTTCTGTTATATTTTAAAGCAATTATCAACAATCAGACACTTCCTCTTTCAACCCTTCCTTTGAATCCTGAAGTAAACTGTTAATATAATTATACACAGATCACAAGAAAATCAAGCACATATTTAGGTACGGGAATATTTTAGTTTTCACTGAAGGATAATCTTGTACAATGAAGTGTTACTCCCCCAGTGCTGGCTTGTGATCAGAGACTTGATCCAAGCATTCAACCAAGAATAGGGAAAACTTTTATCCAGGTTTCCAAATCTGTCAGGAGTAAGAGAAAACAAGGTAGAGCCCCTCACACTGAGTATTCTGCTCTGACTGCTTCCTTCAGCACCTCTGCCATTTTGGTACAATTTAACTTCTCTGAACTGCTACATATAGTGAGCTGACCAGCTCTGAGGTGTTAGTGCTGGGAGAGTGGAGAACAATTTCCTCTTAAAGGCATACTCATCCAGAAAAAGAATCAGTGTGGTTTTACTAAACTGGAAAAATGATGGGCTCCTTTAATTGTCCAAGGTGATTTACTTCTGTTGTGGGCAATTGCCAAAGATGTTCGGACCTTTGCAGCCTCTAATTTTATTCTGCTGCTGAGTGAATGGTTACATACGAATTAAAGAATCAGGAACAGGAAAAAACCATTTGGTCCCTCGAGCTTGCTTCACCGTTCAATTAGATAGATGATGGTCAATCTGTTTGTAACCTCAACTTCACTTGCCTGCCTGCTCTCTTCTGATTCCCTTGTTAACGAATGATTTAAATATTTTTCCTAAACATTTCTATAAATATTTCTGTTCAATGACTGCATTAATAATACAATTCTGTTATCTGGGGAAAACAGTTCCACAGACTCCTGACAAAAAAATTTCTCATCTGTTTTAATGGGAGACACACTAATTATAAATTGTTGCTCAGGAGACCCAAGGAAATAAGAACAGGAGGCGGCCATTCAGCCCCTTGAGCCTGCTCCACCATTCAATAGGATCATGGCTGATCCGACATCCCACACGTTCGGTTTCCCGTCCTTTCCTCATAATCCTCCATTCCCTGACGGAGAATCTATTTTCAGAATCAAGAATCTATTTCAGCCTTAAATATACAAAGTCTCTGCTCCCATAGCTCTCTGTGACAAGATGTTTACCATTTGCACAGATGAACGTATCAAGCTATTGTATGCTCAGAAATAATATATAATTGGTGAGCATGCAAAGAAAATAGTGCAACGGAAGTAACTTCCTATCATAATTACAGACCCAAATTGTAGTTAAATTTAAACTACCAGTGGGATAAGGCACAATGGCAAGCTGACACCGAAAATGAGATAAAGTCTATAAACTTTCTACCCTACTCCTGATAGAACAAAGTTTTTTCTTCATGTAAAGAAATTGAATTTTCTAATCCTTAAAAATTAAAGGACAAAGAACGAAGAAAATTACAGCACAGGAACAGGCCCTTTGGCCCTCCAAGCATACTGCCTGTCACAACTAAAACCCCCTACCCTTCCGGGGACCGTATCCCTCTATTCCCATCCAATTTGTATGTTTGTCAAGACGCCCTTTAAAAGTCACTATAGTATCTGCTTCCACTACGTCCCCTGGCAGCGAGTTCCAGGTGCCCACCATCCTCTGTGTAAAAAAAAAACTTGCCTTGTACATCACCTTTACACCCTTCCCCTCACACCTTAAACTCATGGCGACTGATAACTGACTCTTCCACCCTGGGAAAAAACTTCTGACTGTCCAGTCTGTCCATGCCCTTCATAATCTTGTAGACCTCTATCAGGTTGCCCCTCAACCTCTGTCATTCCAGTGAGAACAACCCAAGTTTCTCCAACTTCTCCTCATAGCTAAGTCACAAATAACAAGGCAAGAATCAGAATTTTGAGCTAAACCCATTATATTATCAGATAATTTTAGTTAAGAAATTTACAATTAAAAGTTCATGGAATGTATCAAAACAACATCTTGTACAGTATAATCAACTCATTGCATGTAGATTTACAGTCATCCTTTGTTAATTCAATCGATCAAATTTCCACAGAATTATGCATATATCACATAGTACAGAAATATGTTGCTGTCATCTGTAACACAGCTAATTTGTTGCAAACTCAGCAGCATAGAAAGAGATGTTTAATCGATTATTTAGATTTATTTAAACAGAATGACTGCTAACATTCAGATAATGAACTCTACAAAGATATATATGTGACAGTAATTAAGGCAAGTTTACAGAAACAGGAATGAACTGGAAAAAACAGTTTATAAAATTCACAAACTGATAGCATTTATGTCCAAATTATGCAGAACCATTACCATTGCCCTGCTTCGCAGACGTTTTTAATAAATTCACAACACATACGTACAGCTTGAGGAAATAAAACCAGTACTGACAACTCGACAAGCACATCTGCACAAATCATTGGCCAGAGAACTATGCTGGAACATTGTGACATAGCAATAAATAACTTAAATACCCATGGGCTTCAAACTGATGCAAAGCCAATTTAATGTACAATACCTCTCTCTGACTCTCAAATACTCCCAAGCCAAACCAACCATCCTTCTCTCCCACCTATCTGCTCCTCCCATCTCACTGACCAATCCCCGCCACTATCTGCTATCACCATCCCACCTACCTTCCTCAGTCCAAACCCCCCCTCTTTCTATTTATTTCAGAGCTCCCTTCCCCTCCCCCATTTCTGAAGGGTCCAGACCTGAAACGTCAGCTTTCCTGCTCCTCTGATGCTGCCTGGCCTGCTGTGTTCCTCCAGCTCCACACTGTTATCTCAACCATTATTTTTTCTCTTTTCAGGAGCCTCACCATAAGGTTCTGCTGCAGGCTAAGAACCAGATCAGAGATACAATTCTACAGTCATGTCATAATCAATTGACAATAGACTGAGCTATTGCTATCTCTGTATCACGTACAAGCAAGAAATTCTGCAGATGTTAGAAGTGTGCAATTTGCTGCTGCAATAATGCAGTGCTCCCAGCAGATGGTAGTGCTGCACTGTTTACAGTTATAATGTTTTTGAGCAAAAACACCATCAAATGCATGCCGATTCTACCCTTCTGCAATATTGTCTTGAAAATGCTCAAAAATTACAGAGCAATTGGTCTAAATTCCAGGTAGATAGTTACCAGTTGAAAATACCAAACCCAGAAACATGCACGCTACAGTTATTCCACATTGCTGGCTCATCAGAATCAGTCCCTTGCCATGAAAATCCAAAAGAAAACAAACAATAGCCCCAGATTACTTCAGACTTTCGGGGAGAAATGAGGAGTGTTTTAGGGACTGTACACATGATTAGAAGGGTCCTTTCTGATTGTAACTGCATTGCCACGTTCTAAGACTTGAAGCCATTCAAAAGTAAAAGTGTTTTATTTACTTTAAAATGTGTTCCCTTTATTGGGGATCAAACCAATGGCCAAACAGCTCAACTTGAATCACAATATCCATTCCAAATTATTTCAAACCAACCTGCATTTAGGTGAAGGTTAGAAAGTTAAATATCTCTCTCTGTAGATGACTGAAGAGATTTACTGTTACAAATACACCCCTTTTTGAAATTTGGTACCAAGATATTCTTGCAATAACTAACCTAAAGGAGGTGGCTGTCCTCTTATAACACCATTCTTCATTCTCTCTTCCCACTCCAGCACTTCCTTGTATATCAACTCTGCAGACAACAAATATGAGATTAATTGGTTTATTAAAACACAGGCTTATAGGGTGTAATAACCACAAGACTGCAACAACTATTATATCTACATCATTTAGGAAAGAAGAATAACTTTGGTGCTCATCCTGAAAATACCAAACCCAGAAACATGCACGCTACAGTTATTCCACATTGCTGGCTCATCAGAATCAGTCCCTTGCCATGAAAATCCAAAAGAAAACGAACAATAGTCCCAGATTACTTCAGACTTTCTGAGAGGAGTGTTTTAGGGATTGTACACTGCAAAAGGGTTACACATCTGTGATCTCCTCTGGAGTGGGAAGACTGGATATAGTTGTAGTGACTGCTTTGCAAAACATTCCCATTCAGTTCCCAGGTGTGTTCCCAAACACAGTTGTCCATCATTTTAGATAACAAGGTGTAGAGCTGGATGAAAACAGCAGGCCAAGCAGCATCAGAGGAGCAGGAAGGCTGATGTTTCCCTTCTTCATTTTTTCTGAAGAAGGGTCGAGGCCCGAAATGTCAGCCTTCCTGCTCCTCTGATGCTGCTTGGCCTGTGTTCATCCAGCTCTACACCTTGTTATCACAGATTCTCCAGCATCTGCAGTTCTTACTATCTCTGTCCATCATTTTAATTCTTTCAGCTTCCCAAAATTTCAGTGAAGCTCACTGCAAGCTCAAGGAATGCCACTTTGTCATTTGATGAGCTGCTTTACAATGTTCTGGATTCCCTATCAAGTTTGACAACTTCAGGTCATAATTTGAGACCCAGTTTTGAGATGCTTGATTCGATTGCTGGCTTGGTTTTGAGACAGCAGCTGTTGGTAATTATTCTGCTATTTTGCTTATTCTTCTACCAGACAAATCTTTCATTTCTATGCTTACCTCATTATCATTGCTTTTCACCGTTGTCCTATCATGGAATCTGTTTTCACCAGAGACTTTCCCTTCTATCCTTGGCCTCGCACCCCATCCCCTCCTTCTTCTGCTTCTGTTCTTGCTTTTAACCTGTTACGTCTTCATCTTTTAAAGTCTGATGGAAGTTTTTCCAAGTTGGAGTTATAAGGTGGGGCTAGATAGACTGGGACCTTTTTCCACTGGAGTGTATAAAGATTTATAAAAATCATGAGGGGTACAGATAAGATGAATGACAGGTGCCTCTTCCCGAGGGTGGAGGAATTCAAAACTAGGGGGCATTTTTAAAGGTGAGGGGAAAAAGATTTTTAAAAAAAGACATGAGGTCAACTTTGCTTTTAAACAGTGTGATTCGTGTGTGGAATGAACGTCCAGAGGAAGTGGTGGATGCTGGTACAGTTACAATATTTAAAAGACATTTAGATAAGTATATAAATAAGAAAATGTTTGGAAGGATATGAGCCAAGTGAAGGCAGGTGAGACTAGGTTAGTTTGGGATTATGGTTGGCACAAACTGGTTGGACTGAAGGGTCCGATTTTGTGCTATATGATTCTGTGACTCTCATAACTTGACCCAGATCAGCTGGTTTCTGGGTTGTGAGCCATACATTTGACCTAACATGCACATTTGGATTCTGTCGAAATCGACTTCACTGGGAATTGCCCAGAATGTCTGAACTTCCAATAATCAATCTCCCTGCTCCCCAGGAACCGCCATGAATGGATTCAGAATCTGAATCCAGAGTCTGAGAGTTTGGGCATTACTGCAGTACGTCACTTTGGTAGTCGCCCAAGAAATGCAAGACAGTTTAAAACCTATTTGAACATCAAGGTAACTAAAAACCTGACACTCAATCACTCTCACTGACATCTTGAGCCCCCAAACCTGCCAACCCACCTGTTCATTCATTCTCAAAACATCCTACACTGGATTTCCAAACCCATCATACGACAGGTTAGACCTCTCTGACCCACCGGCTTCTGATTGTTTACTGAGGGACTGGTGTGCTGCTCATTTCTGGAGAAACTGTATCAAGAAGATCTGGAGAGAAGCAGAGAACAGCACTGATGCTGAGAAAAGTTCGAGCTAAGTGGTAAACTGCTGATGATGGTGTCTCATTGTGAAAATCCCAGCCATTGACTTGCTTCCTTCTCTAAGCTGACAAAGCGCCAAGTACTTCAAGCTTTTTAAATTGGGCGGGGGGGGGAGCGGGTGTGTGGTGTGGTGTGGTGTGGTGTGGTGTGGTGGTGGGAGGGATAAACTTTCAGATTTCCCAGCGTCCTCAGTTGTCTGCCTTTGCTTTCAATGAAATGGGTCTAAGATGTACTGCCTACCTCCTATCAACTCGGGAGTCTCATCAGGAAGGGAGACCTCTATTCAAGGAAAATGCCAAGAATGAAGCTACTTATAATTTTGAAAAGGAAGAAATGCTACATTAGTATGGTATTTTGTTTCATAAAGATGGAGAGTACTTCTAACATTTCTGCATATCCTTTCCTTCATTTTTGATGGTAGTTATTTACTTTCGTTGCTCTGGGACAAGTGTTGGAAACCTAGTTGATGCAACTTCAACCAAAAACACTAATCCTCATGCACATTACATTTTAAATTCAAGTGGAATACAGGTCAAATATTTTCAGCATTCAGCAAAGAATGCACTCATTTCAACATCTTACCTTTCCACTCATCTATAGTGTGATCCCTCTCATCTAGCTGCTTGTCATATATCTTGGGCGGCGGCTGGAAAAATAAGTTGAAATCTTGTTAGACAAATCCTTCATCATAGAATTCCTACAGTGCGGAAGCAGGACATTCAACCCAACAAGTCTCCAAAGAGTGCGCCTAGTTTTTAGCTGGAATTGAAGTTTATCAATTCCAAAAACTTGGCTTAGTTTGTCCCTACAATTTTTATTCACTAAAATAGATAAGGACAGGTTGGGATGTGGGGATATAAATGATTTGTAAAGCTAACATTTTGTATTTACAGCTATTAACAACATTCCATTTTGATCGTGGAAATCATGGCAATAGTTCAAAAGCAGTACACAGTCTGCCTCCTCTCATCCTTCTGACCCAACTCATTTACCTTTGTCTAAACATCATTGAATTTAAGATATTTGTCCTTCTGTATGTAACTTACTAGGCTTTATTGAGCAAAAGAAGTTCATTCACATGGCTGCAACAAAATGGGTGTTAAATTCAGGCTATGGCTGATAAGTGGCAAGTAACAAGTAACATTTGCTCCACACAAAAACCAGGCTATGACCATCACCAGTCAGAGACAATCTAACCACCGCCCCTTGACATTCAATGGTGTGATCGTCACTGAATCCCCCACTATCAACATCCTGGTGTTCATCATTGACCAGAAATTCAACTGGACTCACCACATAAACACAGTGCCTACAAGAGCAGGTCAGAAGCTGGGAATACTGCGGCGAGCAACTCTCCTCCTGACTCCCCAAAGTCTGTCCACCAACTACAAGGCACAAGTCAGGAGTGTGATGGAATACTCCCCACTTGCCTGGATGGGTGTAGCCCCAACAACACTCTAAGCTTGACACCATCCAGGGCAAAGCATCCTGCTCGATTGGCACTACTTTCACAATCATCCTCTTCCTCCACCCCTGACATGCAATAGCAGCAGTGTGTACTATCTCCACTGCAGAAATACACCAAAGGTCCTCAGACAGCACCTTTCAAACCTACAACCACTTTCACATAGAAGGGCAAGGGCAGCAGATATGTGGAAACACCACCACCTTCAAGTTCCCCTCCCATTCATTCGCTGTCACTGGGCCAAAGTCCTGGAATTCCCCCCCTAATGGCATTATGGGTCACCTCACAGCAGGTGAACTACTGCTGCTCAAGAAGGCAACTCACCACCACCACCTTCAAGGGGAATAAAGGCTGGGCAGTCAGCGACAACCAAATCCCATAAACCAGTCTTAAAAAAATCAGATCATGACATTCACTGCTCATGGCAAACCTAACAATGTAGTGTCTATAATAATGGTTAGGTACAATAAACAATTGACAAAAAAAACCATTCTATCCTGCTAGTGAATACGATGTATTTCCAAGTCAGGATGGCAAGCGGCCTGGAGAGGAATTTACAGATAGTGATGTCCCCAAATATCTGCTGTGCTTGTCTTTCAAGACAGAAATGGTCATGGTTTGGAAGATGCTAAGGAGTCTTGGTGACATCTGCAGTGCATCTTGTAAATGGTACACACTGCTGCTACAGAGCATCAATGCTGGAGGGAGTGGAAGTTTATTAATGTGATGCCAATTCAGGCAAGTGGGGAGTATTCTATTACACTTGTGACTTGTACCTTGTAGGCAGTGGACAGACCTGTGAATCAGGAGGTGAGTTACTCACTGCAGCATTCCTAGCCTCTAACCTGCTCTCGTAGGCACTCTACATTTTAAAAAAAATGTATTTTTATTGACCTAAGAGACACAGGTGTCACTAACTGGGCCAGCATTTATTGTCCATCCCTCCATGGCCTTAAGGAGGTAGTGGCAAGCTGTCTTCTTGAACCACTGCAGTCCACATGCTACAATGCCATATGGGAGGGAATTCCATAAATTTAGGTTGAGCTATACTGAAACAGAAGCAATATATTGCCACTCAGGATGGTGAATAGCTTAGAGGGGAATGTGCAAGTTGTGGCGCTCCAATGGGCTTGCTGTCCTTATCCTGCTAGATGACAGAGGTCACAGTTTTGAAAAATGTCGTCTAAGGAGCTTTGGTTAATTCATCTTGCAAACGGTACACACTGCTGCTACTACTGAGCACTAGTCATGGAAGTAGTGGATGTTTGTGGATGTACTGCCAATCAAGTGAGCTTGTGTCTTGGATCAAATCAAGCTTCAATATAGTCAATTTTATATGGCTGGTCCAGCTAACCTTATGGTCAATGGTAACCCCCAGATGTTGACAGTGGGGCAGTGATGGTAACACCATTGAATGTCAAGTGATGATGATTAAAGTCTGTCTTGTTGGAGGTCATTGCCTGGCTGTTGTGTGACTCAAACGCCAATTGCCACTTTTCAACCCAACCCTGGACGTCAGCCAGATGTTGCTGCATTCGGGCATTGAATGCTTCAGTGAATTCAGCGAATTATTTCCATGAGTAAGTTGGTAACCAGAAGGTGGAAACGTAAGAACTCCACTACTACAAAGGGACCACATGAGATTTAAAGTTTTTATTGAATTTCTGTTGAAATGGTGAATGACCTAACAGAAACAGTGATGAATTCAGAAGTGTCCCGACCTGAAACATCAACTTTCCTGCTCCTCTGATATTGCCTGGCCTGCTGTGTTCCTCCAGCTCCACAATGTTATCCATGAATTCAGAATAGCTTTTTAAAGAAAGCTGTGCACACGCATTCGAAAAACTAAAACTGTAAAAGGTCACAGGGAGGAAAGGACAAGGAGAATGGAAATAATGACATTCGCATTATCCCACATGTATGGAAATCAGACGGCGTGGATAAATTAAAAATACTAGTTAGCCACTGCAGTTTGTGGTAATCAGGCTTACAGCTTCTTTAACTTTGAGCACGAAAGGAAAGATATTTCATCTTGAGATGGCCCTGTTAGAATCTCTTCAGACTGACAACATACATGGTCTATAAAATAACATGGACACCCTTGTCACTTTGGGGTGGGTGATGTCCTGTGCTTGCTACTGGAGATTCCAGTTGCTGGGATGACACATGAGGTGACTTTTACTACATGTAGAAAGTTTTTGCCAGGGACTGGTCAAGGTTTAGTGTATGTGGTGCGGCTTGGTGTGCTGTAAACTTCAGCGACGCCATAGGTGGCCTGAGATTTTAGAGGAGATGGCTTCTTCCAGTAAACTATGTGCTGTCAACACAGTAATTTCTGGAATTCTCCAGTCTGCAGGTGCTCAGCAGTTGAAGACATTCAAGTTTGATATGAACAGACTTTTGGACACAAATGGAATCAAGGGAGGTGGGGATTATTGCAGAAGGCTGGGTCATTAAGTATATTCAAGGTATATTAATGGATTTTTAATCAGTAAGGGAATCAAAGATTCTGGGAAAAGGCAGGAAAGTGGAGGTGAGGATCATCAGATCGTCCATGATCTCAGGCTCAATGGGCTGAATGGCCTACTACTGCTCCTAATTCTATGTCTTGTGGGATAGCATGGAAAAAAAGTGGAGTTGAGATACATGTCTGCCACTGAACGGTCAGACAGGCTCCAGAGGTAATATGGCCTACTCCTGATTGTTTGATCTTAAAGTGGGATTTAATCTGATTTCCAGTACCCATAGCAAATAAAATCTGAGGAAGGGTCACTCGACCTGAAACGTTAGCTCAGATTTCTCTCCACAGTTGCTGCCAGACCTGCTGAGCTTTTCCAGCAATTTCTGTTTTTGTTGCATGCAAAATCTTTTTAGTTGTAGATGGATAAGGTTTCTACTTTGTGACTTTCAGCTTGCATTTCAGAGATGCTTTTTAAATTGGTGGTTTTGTGCCACATTTTACTAGGCAAGTACGCATAGAAAAAAGACAATTAAATACTCACAGCTTCTACTTCAGCAGGATCGTACCAAACATTAATGTAAGGGTGTTGCAGAGCGTCATCCACAGAAATTCTTTTTGATGCATCTATTACAAGCATTTTACATAACAAATCTCTAGCTTGACTTGCTGTAACACAGAAGGGTAAACTCCAGTTAAGTACTGTAGAGATTGTCTACCTGCAATTATAAACTCATCTTTGACTAAGCATTACAAATTATTTCAGAACTGAACTGTTTTGCTTGACAGCAAGACACAGGGATTATAAAAAAAATCACCAATTACCTACGCGTCATTAAAAAAAAAGTGTCCCAAAAATGCACAAAATTTGGTACTGTGCAACTTAATTTGCTCCATTTATAAACAGCAAATTAACTTGCAGTCAACAGTGACTTTTCACTGCCTCAGAAAATTGCAAACAAAGTATTTTGAAATACTATGGTCTTTGTAATTTGGGAAAATGTGGCAGCTACTTTACAATCAGCATAGTCTACAAAATCAGATAAAAGTTAATTTTAGGTAAATCGATTGAGGGATGAATACAGTCTAGTACTGTACACGAAGAGAATGCCACTTCTCTTCAAAAAGCACACTTTTATTTATACTTCCCTGATGAGAAAGAAGGTGCTCAGCGTTTAATAACTGACCCCCACCCACCCACCCCAAAAAAAGTGACTCTCACACCTGGCTCTCCATTCCCTCAGGGAATTATGGGACTTTTGAGGCACTCAAGTCTCTGGGATGGAGTTTTGAGCATGTGACCTTCTGACTCAAGATTTGGAAGCACTACGACTTAAGTCTGACACTGGTTTCGAGATACAATTTCATCAACAAGCGAGTCAAAACATAATCATTCGTCAGCTACATGGATTGTGCACGTGTTAAAAACAGCAAGGGAATAATTTGATTAGTTTTCAACAAGTCAACGCAAGTATGATGAGCTCTGTGTTCCTCTACGCTGTAAAATATTTAATTGCACAGCATCATTTGGAACTGCTGCATCTGTTTCAGATCAAACAGCTGTTATTTAGATAGCATTGCCATACACAACAGCCCTTCTTTGAAACTGCTAAAGCTTTTTTTTTTAAAAGAAATGAACCTACTTGAACAGGTTACTTAGCTACCAAGATCAAACCCAAAACCCAAAACTCAAAAGGTATTTTAATTGACGTTGCAATCTTAATGTCCAAGTGTCACGAGAATAAATAGGATTCTGGAATCAATAGAAGCAAGCCAACAAACCAATACCAATGTAACATTAATGGCACAGATCACAAAGGATGTAAAATGGAAGTGGACAGATATTCGAAAGTTCAGGGAGTGGAGGGATATGAAAAGCTGGCATGAAAGTGGAGTGGAGGCCTGCAGCAGAGCAGCCATGACCTTGCAGGATGGTTGGATAGGCTTGAAGGGCCAAATGGCCTACTCCTCTTTTTATATGTTCTCAGCATCTGAAATGTTGCATTGTGCAGTGGCACTGCTGGGAGCAGGGAGGTGCCGGTGTTGGACTGGGATGGACAAAGTCAGAAGTCACATGACTCCAGGTCATAGGCCAACAGGTTTATCTCAGTAACTTAATTGATTGCTTAACTTGCAAACAACCTAAATTTTAAAGTTTTAGGCCATTAACAGAGAGGATCAATTGGATGTGTCTGATTGTTCCTCAGCCAAGACTGGATAAACAGTAATAGTGCAGGATTTCAACTCCAAAGGAAGAGCCTGGTCAGAGTTACGACCGAGACTATAGCACCACATGCTTCACATGAACACTTGGAAGAGCAAATACTTTGGGAAGAGCTGACAAAGAAACAAACACAAATCTGAAAAGTATCTTTAATTCAAACGCATCAGCTGAAAGCCTATGAGTGCTGGGGTGGGCCAATTCCACAGTGTACATTACGGCTGTGAACAGCCTGAGAAATGAAAAATGTGCAAATCAATTACCTTTCAGTTTATTGTGCTCAGAATCGGCAGGGAAAAGGACGTCTGGAAAGAGCTTCTCAAAACTGTAGCCTGTATACTTGGGTCTGTTCTCTACGTAAGTCCTCACAGTGGGCTGCAACTTCTTCATGAACTCAGAGGCGGGTGTTCCTAATTGCTCAATCACTTTGTTCCATTGATCGATATCTATAGTTAGGTAGCTGAGGAAAAATACGGCTGACAAGGCACACAGAGAAACAGCTGAGCTGCTTCAATAGCTTCTATATGGTCACTGTGAAATCATTTGCCTATGCAGAACACTTTAAAATTTTAAACCACAAAATGAGACTGAAGTAGTGAAGGACTGAATGAAGTATCTCCTTTCTAAAATAAATAGACACCATCTCTAATTTTTGCCCCTACACTGATAATCTCCAAAATCTTTGAAATACATGAGTAAAGAGCAAAATGCAATTAGTGGAAATTTAAATGCATACTTCATTTTAACCAGATAGAACGCTGCAACGTGATTTTAAAGAGCTATACAACCAAGCTAGGAATTCCCAACATTTAATATTTTTAAGTTTACTGTTGGCACCCTGGAAAGTTACAAGCCAGTGGGGGGGGAAGAAGCAATACAAAAACAAACAGATTTCAAAAAACATTACCACAAAAATTTCAAAATGAGGCAGAGGAGGTATGGTAGATTTAAACACAGCTTTGGTGTGGACCCTGACTAAATTATGGCTGCACTTCAAAATCAGCCAAGCCACAAGTGTACCGAGAGAGGAGAGTGAGTGAATTTGAAAGGAAATGAGCAAAATCAGTGGTACTCAAAGTGAAATATTCGACGAGGGCAAGTTTTAATATCAATACAGGCAGTTTAAATTCATAAGCTGCTGCCTTAAATTGTAAAATACTAGTACTGACCATAAATATTTTAGTACACAGTTACAACATTTAACATGTAGAACTATTTTCATAATTTTTCCTGTCAATGAGAGCATGATTTGACATTATCCTGTCATTCAACACAACTCTCAGTTTCCTGATTTATAAATTCCTGTTTGAGTAGCCCATTTAGCCACATTCAATGTACATTTAACTGATGTCAAGTAGATTAAGTACCAGCTGAAATAAATTCACAAGCTACACAGGTCCCCTGATGGCTCAGAGATTGCAATATCTAGCATCTAAGAGCATAAAGGTCTCAAGTTCAATTTCTAGCCTGTGCGGTGTTCACTGGTCTCCGCAATATGTGCTTGTGCGCGTGTGAGAGAGCAAAAGGCTGAGATTAATCCCAATCAGGGAACTTATAGGGTTACTAAAATCGGTTTCTAAAGTCGTGGATTGTTAATCTTTGCTTGTTATGCCTATGAAGACAGATTCATGCTTCAGATACACTGGGAGTACTGTTCATTCAATAGTTCAGTAGGGAAAAGCTCTAGGGACGATTAAATGACATTTCAGAGACAGAACATTGCTTTCTGCGAGGAGCAAAAAAGAGATCATAAGATACGGAGTCCCAAAAAATTAACCAACATTTTTTTTTCTTAATTTCTATTTTCAAACATATTTTGCAAGTGCAAAATCTTTTAGAGATGTTCTATAATTGGTCAATTAACATTCCCCAAATACAATACACGGGCATGGCTTTGACTCCAATTGCATTGCTGTGCAGTAGTAATGTAGCTGAGGTCAGAACATGCAAACACTTGGGCAAAAAGGAGATCTAGATCCACGCTCTGCCATTCTGTAAAAAACTGTGTACTGGAATTTCAATGCTAAACCTGAATTTTAAATCACTTCATTGTACCAACAGAAATGCAAGATGAATTAATGGCGCATGCAAGGGAAATCAGATAATGCTCTAAACAGGTTTTGAGTGCTATCAAAACTGCTTCACTCATGCAACATCCTAACACAGGAAGCAAGAAACAAGTACAATGACTTGCAAACACGTGGGAGTCTGGAGTACTAAACGGAACTTTTTAAAACACTATGCCCAAGGTTAAAGGGAAGGATACGATCTGTACCAGGGAACAACACACCACCTCTGATCATTTCGCCCATGATGCACCCAACTGACCAGATATCAACTGAAAACAAAATGCAATGACATGAAATTAACATGCAGAAATTGGATTCAAACAAAAAATATAAAACAAACACACAAAGACAGCTTATGAGATGACCAATACATTTTGAAGAATTCTGGAAAATAAACAGTTTGTGTCTGGCTCCTTTACAGTAACCTCAGATTACAACAGTGGATAATGATTCAATCAAATCATATTCAAAAAGGTCAATGCGTTGATTTTCCACATAGCTATTAGCCATTTCCTAGCACTGAAGACAGAATAGTTCTGAATTGATCACAAAGCAGTAACCTATAGCCTATTTCTACAAGCTAATGGAAACTCAAGGTTAGAAATCCCAAAATCACTACTAATTTTACAATAAAATTCATTTCTTGCGGTTCTGACATTCTTTTGTTGGAAGTTATGAAACTGCATGGGCCAGACACAAACACAAGTAATCTAGGGCCACGGGAGCACGGTCACAACAGATTTAGCATAGATGGTCAGTACATATAAACTTGGAAACAATTTCAAAATAACCAGCAGAGACTGTATGTCCCATAGCCAGATGCAGACTCTCCTATAGAGAGTGAAAGATTTGCTACAGGTCCTACCTGGGTAATTTGAAATCAACGACAGGAGGGCAATTTAAAATGCTTAAAAACATTATAAAAAAGAACCAATTGTATCAATTATCAAGGGCTTGTTCTTCAAATGGCAAAACACAAGCTTGCCACAACCACTGCAAGCAGCATTAAGGATACAGTCCCTTCCTGGAAAGAGGATTTTGTGACGAACCATTTCTCCCATAATGCACCCAACAGACCACAAATCCACTAAAAGTTTGTAGCATAAAAGAAGGGAAAAATACTTTGTTGAAGCACGTTTTACCAGAATGACTGTTGCTAACCAAAACACGAGTCTTGTGTACTGCGTGTGCAGGACACTCCGAAACATTAGAAAAATTATGTTAACGTAGCACCATTTCAACTCCACCAGCACCCCCACCAAATCTGCAGTATAGCAAAAGCAGCCATGACATTATGTGATGGAGCACATTCATAGTACAGCAACACATACAAATGAATCAAGAAAAGACACATTTATGCTCAACACATCAAATTCAATCATACCATTAAAAGTGCATTCATTTTACACACTGCATCCATTTTATATATTGTATCCCTCAATCCACATGCTCTTCTTTCTTTTACTACCCATTTCTGTTAAGGATTAAGAACCACTTCAGCATTTACTGAAAATAACTTGCATGATATTTACATAATACAATTTAGCACAAAAACAGCATATTAGCAAAATACAGCACTGCAGGACTATCAGTTATCACCAAATAGTTTCTGTTGATGTTTATTTGTGAAATTTTCAGCATATAAATTGTAGAATATAAAATAATTCACATATTTAAGATCGTACTGGTGACACTAGTAAATTAAAAACTCACTTGCCAACAAAATGTTGACATTAATCTCCCTTATTTCTAAAGGGCAGAAAATGAAATCTGTTTAATTGCTGCTGTCTTTACCCAGAATCAAGAATGTGTGTGTTTGGCTCCAAACATGCATTCCTAGGTTTTATGATGTTACTTTGGACTGATTTTGACTTCAGGATGCAGACAAGAAATGCTTGGATAGTTTCGACCCCTAACGTCCATCTCCATATTAACGAAATAGTCACCACATAGGTCCTACATGGAGCTATTCACAACAACACAATTTGGTAGCCCTTTTCTTAATAAAATGATTGCAAGCTCAGGCTTTAAGTATTTGCTGTTTTGCTCCAATCTGTTGTATGAAGTACACAAAGGAGTTTTGTAAACATGGACACTAGCAAAATTGAGTCTTAAGAAAAATAAAAAAAGTAAGCTTCGACCATTTCTTGGTTACCGACCGAGTTCCTCCTCAAGGGAATTTTATTTATGCATCTAAAATTAAAGAAAGTACTACGAATTCTTAAGCCAGAAAAAAAAAAGCCTTTGCTGATGTTTGGAGCCTGTTCACAACTCCTATCAACAGAAAGAAATGTTGCAGCAAGTTGGTGTGTCACATAACCAAATTTTCCTTTCTCAAACTCTGCAAGATACATCAAGAACTTATCTTTGTCAACTCCCATCACCATTATTAAATAAATCTACATTAGAAAGTATAGAGAATAAGAACACAGATGGAAAGACTGGCTCAGATTAAAATCCTTTTTTTGAATTTGCAAGTAATTTTATCCAGATGTAATTCAATAAGATGACGATAACACTAACGCATTGGCTCCGAAGCTACAAGCTTTTCTACTCCAATTACGCACAAACTTTAGCATGCACTAACCATTTTCTTTATATCCCATTCCTAGAATGACCTCTGGAGCACGATAGTATCGGGTAACCACGTAAGGCGTCATCAGGAAACTAGTTCCTGCTGTTCTTGCTAGTCCAAAATCTAAGATCTTCAGCGTGCAGTCTGCTTTCACTACTATGTTACTTGGCTTCAGGTCCTAAAAGTTAGAAACAAAATCAAGTTTTCATTTGGTTTGAGGGGAGACAAATTCTATACTGTTCTTAACCACAAAGTACAAGCAAGCACAAAGAACTGAAAAACAGAACAAGTGGTAAAAAGCAAAATACAATCACTATATAACTCAAATAAAATGGCTTGTTTAAGATGATATCATTAAAAAGACAGATATCAGACTGGTATCCACTTAGTATGAGATGCAACAGAAATTACAGAGTTGCATGTCACTGCCTGCCTAGCCATAAGGGTTTTCTGCAAATGCATGTGAATGCAAAGATACAGAAGTCAACATGTTGTTACATTCCAGGGTCAGGACAATGTTAGGCAGGAAACCATTAGAGGTCATTTTTGTTTCACCAACTTCCCAGATGGTCCCAAAAAAAAAAAAACCTGGTTTCTAGTTGTATTGCATCCAATCAAAAACTGAAGCACAAAGGAGACTGCACATCTGTCAGCTGTAGTGTACACCTAAGGATTAGGACTGAAAATCCAACTCTGGAGTTAGACGGTTGCATTCTAGAGACCTGGTTCTTTACCAAGAAGGCCATCAATAAACACGTAGAACTAGATGCTATATGTACACCACTGCAAAGGAAAACCGGAAATGAGGTAATCAACTCCAACGGACCCGAGTTTAAATACCAGGCAGGAAAACACAACAGCTCTTCATCGGAGGCTGCACTGATGTTACCCAGCAGGGTAACGAAACATCTGCGAACTAACGAACCAGCTCGGCGAGCCAACCAATCACAACCCAAGATACAAATCTACTCAAGAACCTTAGCTACCGCATTTATGTTGCTATACATCTAATCCCAGTTGACACCAAATGCATAAACACAATGCCCTCGAAGTATCTGAATAATTTCTGCTGCGCAAGAATATTTCTCATTGGTCACAGCTCTACTTGTTTATTCAATTGCTTATGAATTAACTTTTCTTACAAGTAGTAATTGACTCAGAGGGGGCTGCATGCTCCCTGCTGCTGTTCAATCATTCTATTTGTTCAAGTGGGGAAAAAATATAAAAACAACTAATAATTTTCTTTAAAAAGAAAATGTGTGATTTGGCATTTAATGTTGTCCAAATACAAGAATTTAATTTACAAAACACAGATGATAATTAATTTCTTCCTAGCGCGAGAGCGAGAGCAATACATTATCGGGAAAGTGAAAGTATGTGGAAGAGCAAAGACTATTTTAAGCACTGACACCATGTGACTTTCTGCTGAAGCCAGCACCTTGTGCTTCACCTTTCCTTCTGCAACAGAAACTTGATCAGGAAAAAGAAAAAAAAAAACTTCTTCACCTTCCCAAATAGTCCAAATTGAGGGATACAGGGGCAGTGTAGAAGAAGAAATAATTAGCAAGATGAGAGTTGTGCGGATCGAAAGCTCAGTATTGTCAAATGGCTTCTTCTTGCACTGCAGATCCTAAATATAGTCCATCTTTGATCTATACATTTCATGGCAGAACCCAAGTGCAGCCTTCTGGGAGCAAGAATAGGAAACCAGAGCAATAGTTAAATGGAGAGGCATTTCAAAATTCATTGGTACAAAGGGATCAGAGTTTCTTGGGACATGAATCATTAACATAAATTATTGGTTGAAATTACTATAATTAGAGAGAAGATAAAGTAAACTGATGGGATTAAAGGCAGATAAGACCCGGGGGCATGATGGTCTGCGCCCTAGGGTATTAAGGGAGGCGACAGCAGAGATAGTGGATGCATCAGTTTGTGATATTCCAAAATTCCCTGGATTTTGGAAACGCTAACGTGACACCCTTATCCAAAATAAAGGAAATAGGCAAAAATGGGAAACTACAGGTCAGTTAGTTTGACTTCTGTAGTGGGGAAGTTGCGGGGGTCAATCGTAAAGGAGGAGATAATTGAACACTTGGAAAAACAAAGCTCAATTCACCAGTGACAGCATGGTTTCACGAAGGGCAAGTTGTGCTTGACAAACTTGGGGTTCTTTGAGGATGTAACTGCAAGGTTAGCAACTGCGATCCAGCAGATGCGATATATCTAGACTTCCAGAAGGCATTTGGCAAGGTGTCAATAAAAAAAAAAGAAAGTGTGATCCAGAAGGTTAGATCTCAGGGGGTTAAGGATAGAGTATTAACTGGGCAAGAGGACTGACCAACTGACAGAAAGTAGAGGGTCGGATAAAGGAGCCCTTCCCTAGATGGTGAATTCTAACTCATGGGGTGTTACAGGGCTCAGTTCTCAGACTTCAAATATTTACAATCTACACAAATGATCTTCAAGCAGGATCAGTATAACGTAGGAAAATTTTTGGATAATACTAAAATAGGTGGGAAAGCAGGCTGTGATGAGGAGATAGAGTTCACAGATGGATATTGATAGGAGAGGCTTGGAGAATGGGCCAGAATCTGGCAGATAAAGTTTAATGTAGATAAATGAAAAGGCAAATCGTTATGCAAATGGGAAGAAGATTCAAAATGCGTCAGTGCAGATGGATCTGGGTGTCCTTGCGCACAATTTGCAGAAAGTGGGTACACAGGTGCAGCATATAATAAGAAAGGAAAGATGGAATCCTGGCATTTATTGCAAAAAGACAGGGATCAGAAAAGGAAACAAGTGCTGTTACAATTATGTAAGGCGTTGGCAAGACCACACCTGGAATATTGTGTCTAGTTTCGATCTCCTTACTTGTGGAAAGATGTGGTGGCACTGGAGGAAGTTCACCAGATTGATTCCAGGGTTGAAAGGGCTGTTGTACAAGGAGCAGTTGAACAGCTTGGGTTTATGCTTGCTGGAGTTCAGAAGAATGAGCAACTGAGGTATATAAAATGCTGAAGGGGATTGATAAAGTGTACGTTGAACAGATATTCCCCCCTTGTAGGGAAGTCTCATACAAGAGAGCATAGATATAGAGTGAGGGGAGGCAGGTTCAAGAGATGAGGAGAAACTCCTTCTCAAAATTTAAATCGGTGGAACTCACTGCCTTGGACTGCAACAGAGGCAGAATCAATCAACAGATTCAAGAAAAAAATAGATATGTTTCTGATGAAAAGCGGGATAAAGTGCTATGGGGAGCAGGCAGGAGAGTGGAGTTGAAACCAGTAGGAGATCAGCCACAATCATGTTAAGTGGCAGAGTGGGCTACAGCAGCTGACTTGCCGATTCCCGGCTCTAATTCCTCAGTTCCTATACGCAGGAACAGCATGTAGAAGATTGGTGTCTATTGCAAATGGAACACAAAGTACGGATCTTCTACTAAACTGCGCATCTGGTGCGCAGTGTTAAGGTTTGGTCCCCGATTTAAAAATTACACAATTACTTTAGAAGCAGCTCAGAGATGTTTCACTCGACATATTCCTGAGATGAAAGATTATCTCGTCAAAGGGAAGTTGAATATTTTGGGAATTTATCAACTGAAGTTTAGAAGAATGAGAAGTGATCTCATCGATGGTACCAGATGGAACATATACCCAAAGGAGGCTTCCTCTTGTGGGGGAGGCTAAAACTAAGGGACAAAGTTTGAGAATAAAGGAGTCTCCCTCTAAACACAAAGACAGGTTTTTTTTTCTGGGCACTTCAGCCAAGTGATCCTCCAGCTGAAAGTGAAGGCTGCTAATTGAAGATATAATCACAGCTCAATGTATTCTAGACCCTTGTGGGAAAGTGACAGCGTCCCTATCTCTGAGCCAAGAAACCCAGGTTCAAGTCCCACCTGCTCCAGAGATGCAAGATAACATGTTTGAACAGACTGATTTAAAAAACCCTATTCAGGTTAGGTACACTTATAGCAGGGGACGACTTAATTGGGAATAATCAGGAAAGGGAACTTGGACTGTAGTCCCTTTTCTAACTTGAGACTAAAGCCAACATATTTCCACTACTGTTACAAAATGCTTCCACCCTCACCTTATAGCCACGTAATGCATTTATACAATAAGCAAAGGAGCTCTCCAAAGGAGATGGTGCACTTTGAGAATCAAGACATTTAGGATTAACAGATACAGATTATTGTCAATCATCAGTTGAATATAATTCTGGCAACTGGTCAGCATTGTGTACTTCCAAAGCCAGTGCTGTTATGGATCCCTCTGCTATATTGTAAGGGGTTTATGCTTATCTGGTCAGGGATCTATAAGCTGCACTCTTTTAGGCAAGAGTTCAGAGAAATTGTTGCAATCATCTTTTCCAAGAAGGCAAAAAAAAATCATGCTGCAATCACAGTGATAAGAACAAAGAACAAGAACAAAGAAAATTACAGCACAGGAACAGGCCCTTTGGCCCTTCAAGCCTACACCGATATGCTGCCTGTCACAACTAAAACCCTGTGTCCTTCTGGGGATTGTATCCCTCTATTCCTATCCTATTCATGTATTTGTCAAGATGCTCTTTAAAAGGCAGTATTGTATCTGCTTCCCCCTCCCCTTGCAGCGAGTTCCAGGCACCTACCACCCTCGGTGTAAAAAAACCTGCCTCGTAAATCACCTCTAAACCTTGCCCCTCGCATCTTAAACCTATGCCCCCTAGTAACTGACTCTTCCACCCTGGAAAAAAACTTCTAACTGTCCACGCCCTTCATAATCTTGTAGACCTCTATCAGGTCGCTCCTTAATCTCCATCGTTCCTCCAACCCAAGCTTCTCCAACCTTTCCACATAGCTAATGCCCTCCATACCAGGCAACATCCTGGTAAATCTTTTCTGTACCCTCTCCAAAGCCACCACATCCTTCTGATAGTGTAGTAACCATAACTGTAAAGCAAACACTTACTGAGACATTAAAGAAAAGTTGGAGGAAAATGTTAGTGCCACTCAAGTCAGCCAGATTCCAAATCAAATGAATTATGAATTTAATTCATACTTGAATGGCCAATTACTGCAGATAGCGAGAGCTAGATGGCAGTTATAAAAGAATCTGACACCACCTTTTGCTAAAATTATCTATGCACAGTTGAAGGATAAACAACAAAGCAGTGGTAGCCTTGGAAGGGAGAAAG